GTGAGCCAGAGGGTGCCAAAGGCCTGCCCCCGGCTGCTGCTGTGGTAGTAGTCCGCGGTCAGCGACTGCACGTTGGGGATGACTAGGGCCAGGCCTGCGGGGGTGGTGGTGGTGGTGGTGAGTGGGTGGGTGGGTGGGTGGGTGGAAGAGGGTGGGAGTGGTCAATGCGGGGACGCGCATGGCCTCGACTTTGAATGGGCTGGCAAGCAAGGGGATGCCAGAAATGCTGGCGAGCAGCGCGGCCATGTGCCCATCCGCCTGCAGCCTCCCTGGGCCCACGCACCGACGCCGTTCATGGCACAGATGGGCATGGCGACATACAACCGGGTGGTGCAGGCAAAGAGGGCGGTCATTGTGGCCCACAGCCAGCACCCCGCCGCTATCACCGTGCCGCGCGGCATGAAGTGGCCTGCAGGCGCAGCAGCAGCGGTCGCGTGTGTGGGGGCACAGGCACGGCTGGGCTGGCAGGCATTCTGGCGCGCACGCGGGGGCTGGCGGCCGCACCTGCCACGCCGCCCAGCGGGCTCGACAGCGCCTGCATCATCGCCCGTCCCAGCGTGATGGCCCCCAGCTGCTTGGGGGTGGCGTTGAAGGATGCGCCCACCCAGTTGTACACGGCAGGCAGGATTTGCTCGTCGCACTGCAGCCAGGCACGTGATGTGGGGAAGTTGGGCCCACACCCGGTGCGGCGGACCGACCGAGGCGGCGGGAGGGCGGTGGCGGTGGCGGGTGCGCCTGCTGGTCCTTGCGGCTTCCGGCGTACCCCTACAGCTTTGCTTACATCGCGATGCTGCGGCGAACAACGTCCCGCCCAAGCTGGACAGAGCGCGCTGCTCAAAGGGCACAAACCCGACTGACCTTCTCTAATATGCTCGCTATGTTGATCAGGAACACGCTCCTGAGCCTATAATCATGCAGGCTCTCGCTCCAGGAAAAGGGGCGGGGTTTGCCCCTGTCCTCGCCCAAGCCCGCCATCGCCCTCTCCTCTGCCTTTTCCACCTCTAAGGCATGTTGCTGTAGCATGGACACAAGCGAGAAGGAGCACAAAGCGGAAACAGGGACCCAGCTTCATCATGTCGAGGCGATGCGCCGCCGCGCGCACCTGGCGCTGTCCCACCTCGCACCGGGCCGCAGTCAAAGTCACAGGGGAGTTGAGCATGCTTGGAAGGAGGCACAGCAGTCAATCAACAAGTTCAGGCCTACTCTGCAGGCCGCCAGGGCGTGGCCACCAGTGCCACCGGCGCCCTGAGCGCCTTCATTGCGGCGGCCGCCTTGGCCGGCTTGTCCGCCCTGATGGTCGGAATGTGGAGGGCGCCTTCCAGCTGCTCTCCCTCTCTATCCTCTCCAGCTGCAGCCTGTGCGGCCTGGCGCCGCCTGTGCCGCCGCCTCCAGCCACGCACCACCAGCACTCCCAGCAGCACAGCCACGAGCACAGCGCCCGCCGCCACCCCTCCAATCAGGGCTGCGGAATTGCCCTTGGCTGCCGGACTTGGAGGGGGATCTGGTGCCTGGGAGGCCAGCGCTTGGTCTGGCGGCGCTGTGAGCGGGCTGAGCCACTGCATGCTGGGCGCCTCCGCTGGGGCACCTGCCGGGGCAGGCAGGGGCTCAAGGAAGACGCTTTCGGGTGGGCCGCTGAAGGCCCACACCTCTGGAGCAGGCGCTGGTGCCGGAGTGAGCGCCAGTGGGAGCGGAGGCGGCGGTGGAGGAGGCGGCGGCGGCGGGCGACGGCTGGGCGGGCTGGCCGCTGGCACGGCTGGTGGAGGCGGGGATGGTGGAGGCGGCCGATTTGGTTGCGCCACGGTTGGGGGCGGAGTTGGAGGTGGCGGAGAGGCAGCGGTTGTTGGGGGTGGCGACGGTGGTGGAGAGGCGGCTGGTGGGGGGTGGGGGTGGCATGAGCACAGGCGCTGGTGGTGGCACTACCGGTGGGGCTAACTCTGGCGGAGGTGCCATCGCTGGTGGAGGAGACGAGGTGAATGTTGACGGGTCAGGGGAGGGCACTGGCTCCGGTGAGGTGCTGGCGCCGCTGCCGCTCCAGTTGCCGAGTGGCGCCTGGAAAGGATTCGCCCAGCCGCCGCGGGCCCACAGCGCGTTGCACGCGCTGCACTCCAGCTGCACGCTGGCAGTCTGCGTGCCGTTGCGCTGCAGGTCCAGCTGCGCATAGGAGCTGTTCTGCAAGCAGCGGGCATTGTTCGCGGTGCAAGGCGCCTGTCTGCAGCTGTCGGCATGCCCTGCTGCCGCATGCAGGCCCCAGCTGGTGATGCCAGCATCGGTTCTGACACAGCCGTTGACGCGCAGGCGGCCCCAAGCCGCTCCCTTACCCTGTAATCAGACATGGCCAGGGTGGCGGCCCCGATGAAGTCATCGCTAGCGGCTGGCAGCACCGTGGGCTTGGCGGGGTCGCACCCCTCCCCGCCGTCGCACTCCCATATCTGACACACCAGTGCGTCGCCAGCCTCCAGTGGCCAGGCGCCAAGGTCATACTGGAGGGGGACGTACCTGCGGGGAGCGGCCCAGCCAGCGCAGGGTGGAGGGAGGCGGACAGGAACCGATGCGGTGCGGCGGCAGCAGCGTGCGGGGGTGGGCAGCAGCGCGCACACCAGATCAGGGCTGTCTTGACGATGGGTAGGTGGCGGAAGAGGCTCCATTGTTCTGCTGAGTACCAAGCTGAGTAGCAAAGCAGGGACATCTCGGCCTGTGGGCCTAGCCCTGTGACACAGGAGGGTGGTGCATGCCGTAAGGTGTGTCGGTAGGCAGGTGAGGGGGCCAGCGGCGCCGCCCTTACACGAGTCGACCAGGCCGATGCCTAAAACACTCGCGCCGGGATCTATCCAGCTGGCGCTCTCGGTGAATCGGGCAGCGGACACAGTGAGCGAACGCTGCGGAGAGACTGAAGCAGCACGGATGGCCATCGAGGACAGGAACAGGAATAGCAACCGGTAGGCCGAAGCGCCCATCCTGCTGATTTTCCAAGTCGATTCTCCCCCGCTGGGCGACGCAGGAGACAGGGCGTGCTCCCCCCTCGGGGTTGTCGAGGTTGCGTTTTGCCTCACAGCGAGCAGGGAGCTAGCAGGGAATGAATATTGGCAGTAGCAAGCCAAGAAAAGACAGCAGAAAAAGCACAGAAGTGAATGCTGCAGAGGGTGCATCATGCCGGGCCGCCACGCGGGCGGCCCGCCCACAGGCGGTGTCATTCCTTCGCTCGGTGGCTGCTGCACTAGGCCGGGCAGAGGCCCATGCCGCAGCCGGCTGCTGCTGCCGCCGCCAAGGATTCCGGCGTGATACCGCCAAGGGGTCCAGCGTGCTGCGGGTGGGCCCCAGCGCAGCCGCCTGCTCACACCGCCGCCAGCGCCGGCGCCTGCTTGCTGATCCAGTCGCTGAACCGCTGCTGCCGCGCCGCCTTGTCCATGCCCGCCTTCTTCCCCCGCTTGCGATGGAAGAAGTCCTCGGTGCCCAGCACGTAGGCAATCTGCGGGTGACAGGGCGGGGCGGCAGGGCAGGTGGGCAATCTGGGCAACAGCTGCGTGTTGGGGTTGGCAGCAAGCGCAGGCAGCCGGCGGGCAGCTGTAGCCCGCCATCGCGCGCCGAGAGCAGCCCACCCGCAGCGCCTCGCTGCCTTGCCCACACTGCGCAGCACCGCACGCAGCGCCCCGCCGCCCCCGCAGGTTCCCCACCTTTTTGATCTTCTGCTGCATGTTGGACAGCTTGCACTCGAGGCCGTTGACCATGCGCACGTCATCGTACACGGCCGCCGCCGCCGCCTCCAGCCCGCCCGCCGCCGGCAGGTTGCGCGCCAGGCACACCTTGGTGCCCGCCTCCTCCTCCTCCTCCGCCGGCGGCGCCGCCGAGGCTGCCGGCGCCTGGCTGCTGTCGATGAAGGCCGCCACATAGTCGTGGAAGGCGGGGTCGAGGATGCCTGCAGGGGCGAGGCGGGGAGACGGGGAGGCATGGTGGGTGCCAGTGGGTGCGGGTGTGGCAGGGCCCTTGCAGGCGCGGCGCCGGCAGCCCGTGCGCCGCCGTGGCCGCCCGCCAGCACTGGCGCTGGCGTCCTGCCTACCCCTCCCACACACCACCCGTGTCCCTGGGCCCCACCTGGCGGCGCGTCCATCTTGTCCGCATCCAGCAGCTGCACGGTCAGCGAGCGGTCGGGCAGGTGCTCAAAGCGGAAGCAGGCGTCGCCCTGCAGCAGCACATGCGCGTTGGCGTGGTACACGGCGTCGTGACCTGCGGTACAGGCGGTACAGGTGGGGGCCAGGGTCAGGGACCAGGAGTCTGCAGGGTCTGCAGGG